CCGTGAGTCAAGCAGGCTGCATACGGTGCACAGCCCTCTAATGCTGCCCTTTTCCCATGGTGCGGGTTCCACCCTTCCTTTGCAACTACCCTTCCTCCCCGTATCAAAGGTACCTGGAAGTTCCCTCAAGATCAATTTGCTCTTGAAGGGAGCCTCTGTCAGGTGCCATGTTGTTGGGAGGGAGGCTACCATTTTATGGTTTTGGGGTTCTGTTCATGTTTGTGTGGTTGCGCCAACTATCTTTCGAGGTTTGTTTCACATGCCAAGCGCCTTGCAGGCCACAGGTCTCAATGCAGAGAGATGTCCAGCAAACCCGCCCCATCCCGCCCAGCTAGCACCAAATCGAGGCGATGATGAGTGCTTCAAATGCCTCACGAAGCGGGGCACCATTTTGCCCAACAAGAAGTCGGGGGCCTCGATCGACTTCCCTGTGGATGGTTGCAAAATCCGAGACCGTACCACTTTGAAGGCATGGTTGAAACGGGAACATTTGTTGGTGTTTGCAGGGGAATCGAATCATGCCAGGGTTTCTTAGGTGGTGCAGGATTTCGTCCATCCACAGTATTGCAACATGGACATAACTTTTGTTAGATACACTTTGGTGGACATCATTTGCATGAGCTTTTGATGTGGTCAACAGATTGATTCCTTTCCTGGGAGAAGGATAGTCATCAGCCCCTTAATAAGGATTTAGGACAAGGTAAGGATTCCTAGTTAGGGAACAATGCCCATGGCCCACTGAAGAAGTGCTTGCCCATGGCTATGATTTAGCTGGACATTCATGCCCACACATTTTTGAGGGGTTGTCTTTCTTGGGCGGAGCCCTGGCTGGGTGATGTATGAAGAGAAACCAACCAGGAAATTCCATCAAACTGCGAATCCTGGGCAAGTATATACAAGGCTTGTGGTTTGTCTCCGATCTCAGGGATTCTCGCGGAGGCACTATGACTTCCTTTGAGAAACACCTTCAATCGGGGTAACTTCAGGAGAGTCACAATCAAAACCAGGGTAGATAAAGGTTAAGGGGCAATCCCAGCCGGAACTAGTTGCAGCCTTTTCAATTACATGGATTTGGGTAGACCGTGTGAGTGCCAGGTGTTGATTGTGGCTCAGAACAAAAGGTGACCCGCACCCATGGACCGCAGGTTCGAGATGAGCTTCGAGTTCTCACCCCAGAGCAGCCAGACCAAGGACGGAGCCTCCGCGTGGGCGAAAAAATTGCGGTTTGGGGGAGATGCGGCTGGATGTGCCGATCCTTTTGAGCAGCCAACTTGGCTTCTGGCAGCGCGCAACACGGCTTGAAGGCGTCCGTTTTGCAAGCTGGCAGCTGTCATCAAAGCGTGTTGCCGGAAAATGTAATCACTTGGTCGTGTTAGGCGCAGTGATTGGGTGCAAGTGAGTGCCCTCCCATCCGATCCTGGAACGGTAAAGCTGATGTCCTCACCTTTTTTGACAAGATCCCGGGGGGTCCAGTGAGCGCGAACAACATGATTTTACGTGCAAGGTGTCCATGAAAAACAATGCACCCAAACATGTGGTGTGGGAATTGATTGAGTGGTTTCACCAGGCAGCAGCGTCCACGTTGTATTAAGACCCCTTTGAAGTCCTTGATCCCAGGGGGGCTTTAGTTTGGTGGAGTCACTATAGTCGATACCCTACATATCGCGAGGGGGTTGTTCAAGTCTGATCCGCCTCGATTTGCATGTCACTTGAGCAACTTGCGAATTGGACGTTGGGTCACACAGCTCAGCCAATGCCGGTCTCATTTTGCCAGCCGTACATCATCTCTGGTGTAATGTGAAGACTGCTTCATGCCTCTTCGTTTTTATGGTGTGATGTGTACGACAAAAGACAAAAGACAACAGCAGCGGGAATCCTTATTTCTGGTCAATGTTGCTGTTTGCATCGGAGGCAATTCTGACAGAAAGTTGCTACGTGTCTTTCTTGACTTTCTTTTGTAGCCTACGCAACGAAGAAGACATGAAATCAGGTGACGGGGCTAGATCGATTTCTCTTGTTGCCTTAACTTAATTGTCAACGTAGCCGGCCGGCCATTCTGCGATTGGTAGAGATGGTGATGCGCCTGACACCATCGCGAGTCTGTCAGACTTCCTATTCATCCCTACCCTGAGATCGCAGAACCAGCCACACGGCTTGGGTCACTTGATCTTTGATTGAGAGATCCACAACTGCTTTCAAAGTACCACTTCTTTCGGCCGCTTTCGTGATATATCCCCGGTCTCTGGCAAACCCCAGATGCCCTGGGCAAATTGGCCTCCAAGCTCACGAAATACCCCTTACTGTAGATAAAACAAATTCCCATTCGAGTTTGGATGACACCCAACCAGGACAAAGCACGTACCAGCTTCAGGTTTTTTCTACTTCCACGATAGGCATAGGTTGGCACCAGTCTGAAAGGGAATAGGTCGCATTCCCAGAACTCGCGGCTTCAAGGCTTGCAATTGGTTGATTCAGGAACTGCATTTTGCTCATTGAAGTTGTGAAGTCTGGGGGCTTGAAGCTTGGTCCATTGGACAACTGAAACAGAACCAACACCCAGCCGTCTGCAGACTGAACCAAATTCGGAGGGCTGGGTTTGACGTTTGACGCGCCGGGTGCATGTGGCCATGGGTCAAAACCCCGTACCCCCGGTGAACATCCCAATCCCCACTAAAACAGGTTCTAAAATGGGTGGTGCACCGAAAACCCCAAAATGGGATCCCATTAATTTTGAAGCATGGCCATGTGTGCATGTGTCTGTATGTGTGTGTGTGTGTGTGTGTGTGTGTGTGTGTGTGTGTGTGTGTGTGTGTGTGTGTGTGTGTGTGTGTTTTTGTTTCTCGCAGGAGTCCTTCTGGTCTTTTGTACTTCTGGGGCCGAAGGTGGAGGAACACTTCCTGGTCGCAGGAGCGATCCGTTAACGACCGCCGAAAGAAGCAATCAGTTGCGTCGCCTGGAAGTGGACAAAACATCCCACCGACGATTCCATGGTTTGGTGCAGAGACCCCTGGTGAAAGACTACTTTCTTCTTGGAAGGGTCTCTGTGCACTTCCATGTTAGTTGGTGGGAGGGGATATCCTCCCACTGGACCCAATTCGCTTCGCATCGGTGTGTCATCCCAGCTGGCATAGGGCTTATCAGTTCAACAGGTGCGAAGTGGATCCACTTGAAAATCCATTTGTTGGCACCTCTGAAGTTGCTTGAAAAGGCTCGGAATGAAACTGAGTTGCCACGCGGAAGGGGGATAGCGTTTTGTATTTTGCCGGGTTCGTTGATTGAACACCTGAAATGAGGGCCCTGTCGGGTTGCTCGCTGCTCGCCCCTTTCAATCTTGGCCCATGTCAGGCTCAAATTGGTTTACCTCTTGTGGATAAATAAGGAATATTATTGCCCTCAAGGGAGAGAGTCAAACACAATCATTGGCTTTGCTTGTTCACTTTCCTTCTGTTGGTTGTGCGAGGGTTCCCAAGGTGTCTTCCTTTTCTCTTGAAACTGTTTCCAGAGCCACTGAAACATAGCACCATGTTTCAAATGGGCCTCCCATTGTGTGACAAAGCAGGCTATAGCCCACTTTCTGTCCGGAGTAATGCCCTTGCAAAGCGACAAAGTAGTCATGGGGGAGTAATAATTCCCACTTGTCATAATGTCATAAAGGGGTGATTATGTGCCACCACATTTTGGAACACACCCACATACAAGTAGGTTTGTCCATGCACAGTGTTCTGTTGGTTTCCCAAAAAACGATCAGCTTCCTTCAAATGACCCCTCCAAACAGACCAGCTATCACTTTCACCGAACCCCAGCAAGGGTAGGGCAGCCTGTAGCCTCGAAGCAGACACACCCACAGCTGGGCACCCAGCTGGGTTCTACAAGTGTTTACATGTTGAGGGTGTTTGGGGTTTTGCTTTTTATTCTTTCAGGGATTGATAAAAGTTCTTAACACCGGGGCGCGCCCCAAACGGGGTTGAAGACCTTGAGTCTCCCTTCCAAGTTTGGGTCCCTCGACGCACCGAGCTGCCGCAGCCGGGGCTAGGCACGGTGCAAGAGCCTCGCATCGGCATGGACTTGCGGCAGCCTTGGAGCTGTTTGGGGCGAAGAATGGAGGGCTTTGCGGTTGGTTGGCTGGGTTGGGGAGGGCGTGGCTTGGGTGGCTGGGTTGAGGGAGGGGGTTGGGTTGGTTGGGTTGGTTGGGTTGGCTGCGTTGGTTGGGTTGGTTGGGGGCTTGGGTTGGATGTCTTTGAAACCAAGCTGAAAAAAGGGGTCGTGAGTCATTCCACACACACACACACACGCCCTTCGCGCCGAATCCCCTTGAAAGTGACACATTTCTCATATTGGTGTCCCACTTTTCAGAAGAGCTGGCTGGTGACATGGTTCCCATCATTTTACAGACACAATAGAAAGCAGGCGTCCCATGTGGGATCCGGATGTCCGCCAGCAAACTGTTTGCCGATTGAGCGTCGCGTTGCGCGTTTTGGCTCAGTACGTGACATGCACCACATGGGTTTGTCACGGAAGTTGCAGCCAGAAAATGCTGACCTGGATGCTTGCCCGTGAGACATGATATCAGCAAGATCTCCTTAAAAGATACATCTTGCCCATTTGAAACATGGCTTTTTCCACCAAAATAAAGGGAACCGCCATTTACAAGGCAATGTTCAGGTGTATAATCTAAGGATCCCTGTTCCAGCAAGCATTCAAGTAGTCGCATGAGGATCAGGTTTGTTCATACGTCAATTGTCATTCACCAGTTGAAGTGATTGCGGGCTTTGCCGAACTAATTTCACCAGCACATCGCTCAGTGACTGCAGGCAGCAACGAGGTTTTGGTTTGCTTCCCCCGCGAGGGGACTCCATCGTTTATAGACTAGACTTATAGACCTTTCCATTTGCCAGTCTTCCACTTCGAAGTGGACAAAGCCCTTTACTCTCACGTTGAGTGGAAGGATCCATCCACGCCTTCAGCGATGTTCCAGGGAAAAAAGGGAGCAGACTGGAATAGCGAGAAGGACCAGCCAAAACGGCAGGAACACACATTTTTTCGACCGCCATGGCAAACGCGGTGCAGTGGATCCCGGATGATCAGGTGCATGGGTTGAGGTTGGTTGCATTGTTTGATTAGATTAAAGAACCAGGGCCTGATCGCTTCCAAATGGAGCACAGAGTAAGGCAGGCTGTGCCAAAGTGAACACTAAGAAGGGCCGAATGCTAGCTGCTGGTTTCTATCGCAAGGAGGGCAGATACATGTTTCATGCCATTTGGGGGGTGATCAAAATTCCTGGCGCCCAAATGACCATGGCTAACTGTTCCCTACTTGTCATCCCACGTAAAGGACCTTCTCATCAACCCACATGTAGGGGTATGGTCGGAGGGTCCAGGCACCAGCGTGGACTCATCCGCCTAATGCGAGTTACTGGGATCGCCTGAAATGGTCATGGACCCTTCTAAGGGTATACCACAAGATGTGTGTCAAAGGAAGGGATCCTTTGGGCAGCCTTCCATCGAACAACGAAAGCGCGATTTTTCCGTGGTTGTGAGGGACTCAAATGGTAGAGTCCTCCTATATCAGTACGGGACCCCCCCCTTTTTGGGGGATTCTTGTTATCGGCATGCCAAAAGGACGACAGTGGTTCAAAACCGTTAAGCCGCCAGTGCCATTGTTGTTTCTTTTCTCCAGGGCCTCCTTCCTGAACTGATCCTCAGCTTCGGTCGCCCTTATTCGCGCCTTCAAGAACCCCTGGCTCATAGAAACTAGCAGCAGCTTCTACAGGAAATCGGAATTCCACGCACGCACGCAACAGAAAATAGGGACGCTGCCTTAGGCAGGACCCCTGGGAGTTGGCCAATTTCTAGAACTTTCTGCTGGTTTCTATGAGGCTTGCCAGCCACTCACTTTGTACCCTGGCCCCTAAGCCTGCTTCAGGTGTTTTGGGTTTCCCACAAGTGCGTGATTTTGATGAACATGAAGACAACGTATTCGTCATGTACATGTTGAGCCATCTTGAGGGGCATCTCATTTGCAAAGCCAGCAAATGCCTGAAAGGCCTCTCCCATTTGCAAAACAAGTAAACACCCTCGAAGAGCACCAACAAAAACAAGGCTGAAAACAACAAAGTCCTGAGGAACATGTTTTGGTCATGCCATGCCTGAAAGCCTCCCATTCGCAGAACCCAAAACAATCGCGAAGACACCCACACATATAAAATATGTGTATAATAAGCATTTTTGCATATATATATATGTAACATGTATACAAACAACGTTCTGAGAAAAATGTGTTGGTCATGCCCATTACTGATTGTCTGGGATATTTTATGTGTTTTGTGTTTGTTGTCTTCGTCGAGCTCTTGTTTTTTTTTTTCAGATTTGTCTCTCTCCTAGTACTAGATCTCTCCCATGCAAGCGCTTCTTATGGCATCGCATTCTGCTAAGACCTCCCGCTACGCTACATTCCTTGTATTCGCGCTGTTTCTAGTGCGCTGACCCTACTGTTTGCAGATTTTGCAGGTGTGATGACTTTAGTTGCAGCCGAGCTGGAAATGCAACCAAGCTAAGCTAATCATGTTTAGAGTGTATTTTAAGTGCGCTAGAAAGCGTGATTGGATGAATGTCCTTTCAAACAGACCTGACATGCGCTTATGTCCCAACAAGACAAAGACTTGTTTCTCGCGTAATTTACACACACTTAGGGCAGTGGCCTCTATTGGGTTTTGGAGAATGGAGGTTAAAAACCACCTGAATAAGGGGTACACAGAAGCTGTTCAAGCTTATGCCAGCGGTATACAACCATCCCTTCAACCCCCACGACTAATGTTGCCCCCGGTGCTGTTCCTCTCCAATAGTGATGAACCTTCACTAAAACCAGACAAACCCCCAAATTACCCAAAACAGGGGCTGATAAATATGGGGTATTCCTCTAACAGGGTGTTGGGTTGATTCATCTGGGGCATTACTTCTGGACATTGTTAACATTCCCTGGTTCTCAGCGGGGAATGAAGAAATGACCCTTACAAACCCATCCCATGTGGTTTCCTTGAAGGGAATCCTCCGGGTCATTCCCTACTCATCGCACCAGCAACTAGGTCCCCCAGTAGTGCCCTTCTCTCCCTTTTTTGGGGGAGGGTTCCCCTACTAAAATAGACTACAGGAAAAAAAAACAAAAAACACGGGTACCCTTATTCCAACCTCTCTACTGGAGGACCTAGGCAAGTTACCCTCAGTTGTTCAGTGGCACCCTTTTTTACCTGTTTTTGGTGGCTGCCCCACTAAAAATGGTCTTCCCAAAACAGGGTTCCATTTTTTTCCCAGGGTCACTGAACAACTGAGTGAATTTCAATCCCACAAAATAGACCAAGTGGCATCCCCAACATCCCGGAACCCCCAAGAAAAACCTCCGGAACCCTCCCTGATCGCAATCCCAAACCACCCCAGAGCTTATTTGGCTGTGGCTCAAAAAACCGGTACCAAAATGGAACCTTGGTGAGTGGAAAAACGGACCAAAACCCGCGGTTGGCCCCTCCTGTTTAATTTTGAGCCACAGACATTTGGGCGATCGACCCCTACTCAGAACTCGCGCCAGCGAGTTACCTCAATGGAGGTCAGCGAGTGCCCGCTCTGCACGCAGCGCTTTGGGCTGTCCAAGCGGAAGCACCACTGCCGCGCCTGCGGCCGGGTGGTCTGCAGCAGCTGCAGCGCCAGCCGACTGAAGATCAACAACAAGGAGGAGAGATGGAATTATAAAAAAAACAAACACGTGTATGTATATATATATACATGTATAGTTTGGTTTTGTTTGGTTGCAACCTTTCAACCAACCTTTTGTTGCTAAAAGAAACAAGGAGAAGGAGGAGAGAAATGCTCAAAGCGAGGGGGCCCAAAGAAATATATAAATATGTATAAATATGCAGAATGTATAAGTACATATAAATATGTACCGTAGATCTGGGTGTGTGTTTTTTCGGGGCGGGGGGGGGGGTCCTTTCAGCCAATCTTTTTTTTGCTATGGAATATTCGGCCTATGATCCATTCAAGACCCCCGTTGAAAGGCAAGGGTGGATTCCCATAAACACGTGGCGTCCCTTTCAGCAAAAAGCAGAGGCTCGAGCTTCATTTTCTTCAGAGGGGGTTCCCTTCAACAGACAATGCTAGTCAAAAGACATTTAAGGGAGAATCAGGTGGTGGTTTCCAGGAAAAAAACATGTGTGCTTTCCCATGCAGCAAGGAGGTGTAGGGCCATGGTGTCCTCATATGAGAGGGGGTTAAACTTACTTGATGGAAATTCACTTGATGGAAATTCAAGGGTTGTCCTAAGAAAACTCCAGCGACTTGCTGGGTGCTTTGTTTAGCAACAACCCCTGTCAGCCAAGTTGTTTTTTCAGTTTCCAATTACCAACCAGATTTCCCTTATGCCCGGTTTGGGATAGTGGCTATATAGGGGTTGTACTTCTTGTCAACCCCCTGTAGTGCTTGAGGCGCAGCGGAAGACATCTTAGAAAGTGGCCTTTGCTCGCGAGGAGCGGGTGTGCGACACGTGCTACGACCTGCTGCAGCACGACAATGGCAGACCTGTGAACGAGTCGTTCTTGGAGAACAAGCAGGTAGAGGCTCGTTGGGCAGCAGGGTTCCATTTTGTCATTACCCCGTAGACTTAAACTCAGTGATTGAATTCCCCAGAAGGAAAAGAGACACCTTGGGATTAAGTTGACCTTGCGGTAGTAAAAAAATCAGAACCTTGATGCAGATAAGCATTTCTATAGTTGTTGAAACGTGACTTGATAACAGCCAGACTTTGAGACACGGTGAATCTGCAAGTTGACCCCGGATTCAACCTGGAGGGGTATTCCTCCCCCAGAAGTGAAGAGTTCCATCTAAAATGGGACCTCCCCAATCAACCGGGCGATTTACACAGCAACCAAGTAAAGGCTTCCGTCTAAAATGGGACACCCCCCCCCCCCCCCCGGCATTTGCCAACTGTCGTTCCATATATGCCATCACAGGGCAGTGCTCTTGTGCAGATGAATATAAAGCCCACAAACCCTTCATTTTGACAGGAGTCGTCTCAAGGGGAACCCTTTTGTCATTTCCATCTTAATTTACAGGGGACTGGGCAACTGCGGCTGTTTGTCCAAGAGGAATAAGAGAAAGCAGTGATTGCTTGTCTCCGAAACGGGGAATCCAAAAAGGGGGATTCTCCTTGGATGTCCCTTTAAAGCAGCCCTGGAATTGCAAAACATGACTTGGTCCCGGCGGGAATAGAGGCCCCCGGTTCGGCAGAGTGGTTGGGAGCGAATTCGGGTGGGAATCCGAAGTGGGGGATGGCTTGCGGCTGCCTTTTGAGGACTTCAACGGAAATCAGCGGGAAACCACGACCACGGGGTTTCCCTCGGTTTTACTATTGGAACAGCGTCTTAGACACCCGGCAGGAGAAATATGGTGCTTTGCGGTAGCGGTGAAAATGGGTGGATGTGCCACTTTGGGTTATCGACTCGTGTTCACTCTGGGGCTCTGTCATAGCTGCACTGAAGACAAGTTCAATGGAGCCCCAAGGAGGTCATGAACTTGAGCTTAGCAACTCCTGCACTGAGACATTCACGGCTAAGTGGCAAGGCCCATATATGTGATGCTTAATTTTCCAAGAACAGTCTCAGCCATAAATAGGTGCGGCCGCCATGTTTGTTCTTTACATGGTGTTTTGCAGACTCTTTATATACCAATACAAGGTTTTGATGTTGACTCAGCTGGTTATATTTGCAAAGACACCAGAGAGTCTTGAGCAGGGAGATCTTGGACAATCCAGCTCACGTGACGGCCCGGAAGCACGGTTTTCGATGATGATATTTACGTAACTCTAATTGTTTTCTCCCGTCAGTTTTCCCATGTTTGTTCATGTTTGGTCAAGGTTCCAAACTAGTGACCTTCGAGGAACTCCAAATAGCCGTCAAATGGCCAACTAACCAATTGATAGCCATTGGGGGTATCTCCTGATTCGAATAATGTTCTTCAGGCAGAGTTGTGCATCTTGATGCTTAGTGCCACGCGGAGAAACCGCCCTGAGGCCTCGCTAAAAGCAGATCTCCGGGAAAAGCAGCAGCAAGAGGAGTGGTTTCGCAGCTTCCTCACACAGGCCACGGATGGCAAAAAAGGGGGATGGGGGTGCGAGTCACCGTTCTTGGCATGTGGGTGTGGCTTTTTTGAGGGTAGTATGTCCTTCTTGGGCTCGCTTTAAGGCAAACCAAGGGACAGCCACAATTTTCCATTTTGCACAGACGCAATGTGTTTTGCTTGTCTCGTTTGATTCTGTTCGTCTTGAGTGGGCGCAAAGGACATGTGGGATGTGGCAGATTCACCCCGAACTGAGGCAAAGCTCTGTCCCTATCGGAGAATTTGGTCACAAGGAATTGGTTGGCTGAAGGCCAACACTCCCGGGGTCAGCCTGGAGAACCCCCGTGACTTGTTGCATTGCCCTTTGCAAACCATTTTTTCTTTCCCCAAACGCCACTGGACCATGTCCTAGTTGTCCAACGTCCATCCGGAAGCATCCGTCTCAAGAAGGCATTGACTGAGTTGACAGATCTTCTCACCAGCTCTGCGAGGTATTACCTCACTCATCAGCTTGGCGGATTCATTTATGGCGGCGTTTGGAAGTGCAGGATCCCTTCTGAAATGGCAGCCCTATAAATCAACCAGGGGGGTCATTCTTTCTCTCACTTTGGACGTTTGGCCAATCCACTCAAAGAATGAAGTTTACCTTTCAACCCCAGAAAATACACTAGGTGGTATCCCCAACATCCCCGGACCCCTCCCTGATCGCTGTCCCCGCCCTGCCACCTCCCACCCTCCCACCTCCCCCATCCTACTCCGCCCACCTCCTCCTGCCTCCCCCACGAAACCCCCACCACCCCCCCCCACCTCCTATCTTCCCCACCCCACCACCAGAAACCCTCGGTGAGGTCGCCGGGGCGGCGGAGGATGAGCTGCCGCAGCTCATCGCCAACGCCGCCGCGCGCTGGCAGTCCCTTTGCCGGCTGCGTGGCCAGGCCGGGGAAAAATTCGGATTTTTGGAGACACGGTTTTCGGACTTTGGCCACTTTTTCTTGGTGGCTCCCCTTAGCTTGGTGACTAAACCCGGGTAGACAAAGGTTTTTCAGGGGCAGTCCCAGCCAGAAATCGTTGTGGACATCCGCCTTCTTAATTCTTGAAGCAAGGTTATACCGGGCTTTCTTGGTGGCTCCCAGCCATCCGGTTCCTTAGCTTTTTAGCCTTTTAGTGTTTAGTGGTAGTTTCCGTTTAACCCACTAAAGTTAAACTTTTAGCGGGGGATTGGTGGAATCTAATAAAACAAAAAAACAAGTTCAGATTTATTTGGCCAATCCACTGAGGAAGTGAGCTAATTTCGGCAGATGTTCCGCTTCTTGCAACCTCCCTCCCTGTGACTCTCCCTCTCCGTCCTGTCTCTCTCTCTCTCTCTCTCTCCCTCTCTCTCTCTCTCTCAGTCTCTCTTTCTCTCTCGCTCTCGTACTCTTTATCTTCATTTTTCTCTCTATCTTCATCTCTTTCTCTCTCTCTCTCTATCTCTCTTCCTCTCTCTCTCTTCTTCTCTCTCTGTCTCTCTCTCTCTCTCTCTCTCTCTTGTTTCTCTCTCTCTCTCTCTTGTTTCTCTCTCTCTTTTTGTTGGTCTATCTTTCTCTCTCTCTCTCTCTCTCGCTCTCCTTCTCTCTCTTTAGATGTGTTTATCCTTATATGGTTCATTATATTTGTCACTATATTGATCTTCACATTTATATATTCATCTTTGTATTGATCGTGTTATCGTTCTATGTCTCGTTCCCATTATTGGTCTCTTTATTTAATATTATGTGTATTTGTTTATTCTTGTTTCCTCTCTTCTCTCTTTCTCCCGCTTTCTCAGCCATCATGCAACATAATGAATGTGTGTCGCCTAAGAAGAATCTAAAGATGACTTGCAACATAGAGATTCCCCTAAAATCATTCAGCAGGTACCAAGTCCTTGTTCAGGCCCCGTTTAAAATGGACCTTTGGTTCAGTGTGGTGCGCAAATTCCCATCCTTCAGCGCTTCGGTTGCGCCGGAAAACCTGGTGTTCCGTCAGTTCCAGCTGGACACAAAGGTTGTCCCACCACACCCCTGGAACATAGCTGGATGAGCCAAACAGAAGGGCAAATTGGGGTAAATAAGACGAAAGTCTCGTATACTTTGGGTTTCGGTCTGGGGGTTTGTGAGGGAAGTCTGTGATTGCCACCGCTGACTTTGAGAGACACACAATTCACTTGCGATGCCCAGTTGCTGCGTTTGTTCGAAGCCTTTATTGTCCTTCTGCTTTCTTCTGAACCAGCTGGTTCTTTCACTGTCAATATGTAACACCCCCCCGAATTGATCAACCTGGTCCACACGAGCGGCGCGACTCCGCAAGGGGATTCTCACACCACACCACTTCTGAGTCGACGGCAGACAACGGACCCTCAGACCTAAGTTGTGCCTGGGTGAAAACGCCCTGGAGGTAGGTGGGGACGGCCATACATCCCTTGATGCAGGATTTAGACTGCTATAAAGATTCACCGGGAGTCTGACTATGGCCCACATTTCGGGAGGTTTTAATATGGGGCATTTGAGGTGGCGCTCTCCCCTAAGTGCTACAGATTCGACATGTCAAACCCTGGACCTGAGTCTTTCACTGGCATGCTCAGGTCAGGTTACTTGAAATTCACCCATGAAGCAGGGTCCAAGTACATTTTTTCGGTTTTTTGTTGGGCCCAAAACCGGGGTCAATCAGTCCAAGCCTTGGACCGCAATAGGAGGACCAAGCCCTCCAGCAGCTAAAATTGGAGTGCTTGCAGCTGGAGGGTGAATGCCGACTTTCAGCTGCAAGCGCGTGACAGTCGGGGTACTGGGTGACGTGCACGGTTTCCAACGCTGAAACCCACATGCTACAAACACGGAGTAAGCAAACATGCCACCAGCAGGGAAAAACTGGAAGAAAAGACATGTTGAAGAGCTGGAATGTTTGACGCATTCCCATGCGTGTGTGGTCAGCAGACAAACTATTTCTTGGAACAAAGGATGGTCATTAACTCTCCCACGTGTTGCTTTTGGCTTATTTGCTTACAACTAACCCCTAAAGAAGCGTGAATGCGGGAGGGGAGTTCCCTTTTGCCTCCTTGGAAAAACGGACCTTTGGTAAGAGGAGGTGTACACTTTGAGGTGTTTTTTGCCGCACATGGAGGTCACCAAGCAACAACTGAATTTCTGCTGGACCCTTTTGAACGACTTTCCCTGACTGGCCTTACTTTCCCTGACTGGCCTTCCAAGACTATTTGAGCGAGGAACCCGCTTTTCTTGAATGCATAGCAAAAGGGTTCTTTTGTAAAGGTTTGGTGGGGCTCCGAAGGTGGTCTAGTTTCTTGGCAGGTGCAGCACTTCTGTGCACAAATCGTAGATTCCATGACAGGCGCAGCACTGTGGAATACGCGGTCTGCAGATTTTGTGGATGTGTGTTGATCAATGTCTCTGGGATTGTCTGTGGGAGTATCCTTGGCAATGTCTTTGCGGATGTTCCGTGGGATGATATGGACATGTTGTCGGGGATGTCATTGGCGCATGTCTTTCATGTCTTCAGGGATGCCTTTGAGGGGCGTCGCGAACAACATATTGCGGATGTCTCTAGTGGGGTGTCTTCACCCAGATGCCTTCAGATAAACCTTTGGGGGATGATTGGGGATGTCCTTGGGCAGGTCCCTTCGGGGTTGCTCAATAAGCTCAAACAAGGTACCCTCAAAAAACCACCCTCAAACATGACCCCCAAAAGCCAGCCTCAAACATGCCCGGAAACCCTACCCTCAAAAGTATTCTCCCATATTTGTTCCAAAGAATACCCTCCCAGGCAGGGCCCTTTTGAACCGATTCCCCTTAAGGCGCAGTGTAGCCAATCCCTTCGGCGCCCTTCGAGGAGAGCGGGAAGCCGCACTGGCGGCGGGGCAGAAGATTGTGAAGGCCTTGGAGCAGGAGACGGGCGGTACGCCCAGGGCTTCGTGGTACTCCCCCAGCCGGAAGCTCCCAAGACCCCGAAATGGAAGACTCTGTTCCATTTGCAGAGGCCTTCTGGGGGAGTTTCCATGTTAGTCTGAGGGAATGTACTGGATTGAGAGGTTCGCCCTTTGAAACTCCTTAACTTGGGTCTCCGGCCAACTTCTTTGGCACCTTGTGTTGCTTCGGTTCCGAGGCCGATGTACGTTTGAGCCGACCACTCCAAAACTCATGTTTTTTAGACGTGATATGAAACAGAATGTGCACGCTGCACATGCATATGAATTTCAGTGTACCCCGATCTTGATGGGTACTTTCTTATTTTTTTAAGACCCCCTATCCAGCACCCAATTCTTCAGCGGCACTCTTCAAATCCTTTAGGTTCCGAACGTTTAGTTTCATGGTGATCATGGTACATTGCACACGAATGTGTCACGAGCAAAACACCGATCGGGCTAAAAGTCTTAGCGGAAACAACCGAAAACCCCACGAAGGTTGAAGGTTCCTTACGATTGGGTTCCAAACATTTCAGGTTTTGGATTGATTGCAAAGCTTGCGGAGCTTGGATTTCAATGGTCATGTCCTTTCCCAAACCAGGTATTCCAAGTCAGTGGTCCATAGTGATGCCCTTTCCAGGTTCATCCAAGTATCCCAAACACCGTAGAAGTGATTCACCTAAGCGGCGCACTGTGCTTTTTCCATCCCTGGAGGACTGGAGGTTGGCTTTTCAAAGTCAGATCTTGGGATTCCTTGGGATCCACCGACTTGGTGGCTTGGATTGTCAAGCCAGTGCCAGTGTCAGAGAATTGGTGTGAGGTCTTCTTGTTTCTCTTTGCCAGGGAAACCTCAGTTGTTCAGTGGCACCCTTTTCCCTGTTTTTGGTGGCTGCCCCACTAAAAATGGTCTTCCCCAAAAAGGGTTCCCTTTTTTTCAGCGTCACTGAACAACTGAGAAACACGTACCCTTGTGAACGGGTCTTTGGAGCAACGGGTCCGCATACATTCGGACACCTTGCTAATTGCAACCGCCCTCTCAGCTGCAAGCCCAGCATTCCAAGCCCAGTGGCAATGAATTTGATCCCGGAGAGTGCTTGGTGGACAGGACTCCCCACCTAAGTGATGTCCACCAAAGGGTCGATTGACAATCATAGCCAAGTGAAGGCACCTGCCTGAGGCTCCAGGTAGCAATGCCCCAGACGAGTTATGCAGAAGTGCCCAACCGAAAGCAACAGCTCACGGGCCTTCTTCCTCTCTTTCAGTTGGGCAAAAATGTCTTACAGCCGGCCCTGAAGAAAGGAAACAGCAGGTGGATTCAGCAATGCCTGCTAAGCAAACCTGGAAAGTGGGGTCAGCCAAAACCAGGTGGACTGCACCTGCCACTCGTCAAAACTCGGGTATTTGGTGGAAGAACCTGGTTTTACGTATTGAAACCCGTACGACTGTATAAAGGCCGTAGAAGCTCGAATTTCCGTACGCTTGCAGGAATTTCCGTACGCTTGCAGGAATTTCTTGAGAGTGGCGTAGACCGGTTGAACCAATTACATCCATTTGCTGGAATGAACATGTGTTATTTTCCCTTGTAGGTTTTTAGTTTTTAGAGGGAATCGATTTCACTACTAGTCATTTTTTTCGAGGGGGCTCAAGCAAATGGAAGTAGTCAAAGAGGGGACACCCCCAATAACAAATCAACCAGGGGGTTACCTGTGGCTTTTTCCGGACCCGAGTGAGTGAAGGAGCTGAAGGCGAAGCCCCAGCTGCAGCGGGAATGCGAGCAGCTGCAGCGGACCAACAACAGCCTCCAGCAGGACCACTCGGGCGACGCGGGTGACTGGGTGGGTAGGGAAACCACCAACCAGTTTCTGACTCTGATAACCCCCAGAAACAGTGAAACCAATGACCTCCTCAGTTGTTCAGTGGCAAGCCATTCCTCAGTTGTTTCTCAGCAGGGGGGCGGATATCCAGCACCCTTTTGTGGGGGGAGGGAAACCCCCTACTAAAATAGACTGCAGAGAAAAAATCGGGCACCAACTTATTCTAGCCTCTCTGCTAGAGGACCTAGGCAAGTTACCCTCAGTTGTTCAGTGGCACTCTTTTTCCAACTTGTTTTTTGGTGGCTGCCCCACTAAAAATGGTCTTCCCCAAAAAGGGTTCCCTTTTTTCCAGGGTCACTGAACAACTGAGATTCGGGACTCGGGTGACTCGGGTGCCCGTTCTCCAATGGAAGTGGACAGAGGTTGTGGGAGCACGCGGAAGGTGGTCCAATCGCTTCTGCGATACGTTTGGGATAGTCTTTGAGAAACCCTTTCTGTTGCATCACAGAAGTGGATTCTATTTCCCACAGAAGTGAACGGAGGGGTTTCCCCAAAACGAAAGTAGTCCAGAACCCTCCTGTCAGCTTCATTGATTGGAGGGAGGGAACACTTGGGAAATTGGCTAGGGAGCCCAAGACCTTATTTGAGGCCTTTGGAGGTTCAAGGACATCATGTGTACGACATTTATATTCTGACCCCTCAGCTTCAATCAATATTGCTGACAGTGTAAGTTCCAGAAGGGAGTTGGCCCCCCTTCTCGCCGCTTCTATGAAATCCCAAAACATCGTGCCCATGTTAGGAACATCCGAAACCGCATGTTGTCCCATTCCTTACGAGAAACCATAAGCTAACATGATCCAAACAAACACATGTACTAAAGACCCTTGCAGAAAAGAAGTCTTTTTTGATATTGTATCCAGAAGGTCCAAGTACCTCCTCAGGATGTACTTTAGAGGTCGACGAGGTTAGGCACGGTTTGGCTTAATGAAACTCCTTCTTGGGTCCATGGGTCCATATTTTAGGCAATCGTCGCTAGCCTCTAGCGAGCAACTGCGCATGCCATCTGCCATCTCAACATTCGTGCAGCTGCTATCCAATCTGTAAACAAGGCGCACGAGGGTCAACCCAAAGGATGGACATCCAAGTCTTTGTTTCATGAAGCAACCCCCTTTGAAGCTGCGAGCCAAAGGCCGTCTTTTGCGGGACAAATCCATCGCAAGGAGCTGGCGGGGCTGCAGCAGCGCTCCCACGCGCTGGAGTCCCAATTGCCCAGCTCGCGGACCGGCTCCTTCCTGCCGCTCGGGATGGAAGCTCTCTTTTGGGCCTATGGAAATATGGCTGTGGGTCATAACCTATGCCTCCATTTTGGGGCGGATGAACACCCATGTACCACCTATTTTGATGTTCACCAGGGGTACATGGTTGTGACCCACAGCCATATGTTGGAAATCCGTCAAGTTCTGGGATTCCACGCGCGAGTTTTGTGGGGTCGATGTGGGGTTCCCCACTATGATCACCTTTTGGGCCAGGCCCTTCGATTGGGTTAAGCAGCCTGGTTGGCTCTCTAGGAACGGCAGCCCAAGCCTGGTCTGCCCAGTGGTTTACTGGCACCTCCTGTTTTGGTGGTTTCAACCATCACCTTTGTGGTCCATGAGAAATGAGTATCGCTTGGTGGAGGTGATGGTTTAACGGGAAATATAATATTATTATTGGGAGCCCTGGACATCGCTTTTGGTTCGTGGGCTCCCCACTACGAATGGAAAGGTCTCAACATAGTGGGCGCCCCTTGCACAGGGTGCAACAACTCGGAGCGATTTGTGTGTATGGTGTTGTCCCCCCGGCCTGGGACCCCCGCTGCCCCGAAATAGGGGCACTCACGAATGGCGAGCACAAAGGCGATGCTTAAAACCCTAGATAACTTCGAAAGGACAAATCAACCCCACTGCCTGAAGCATGTTTTGGCTTGTTTCCTGTTTGGGCTTGTGCCAACTGACCAGAGGCGGTGGTTTTACCAACAGAGCCGGAAGGAACCGCACCGCTGGGGCTGGTCCCGCACGGGTGTTCAAATTCGCCGTGTAAACATCATTTGTTCAATTATTTCAGTGGTCTTCAGGGTTCCCTTCACACACATTCGTTGTTGCTGTCAACAAGCCAAACTCCCGTTGAAACCGTCCATGGCGACTTGCTACCACGGATGCGTCTCCAAATGGGAGTGCCCTTTTAAAATGAGGGTTCCCTTCAAACCGACCGAACAAGGGTGCAAACTTGTATGTTGGTGTTGATCGAATTAGGGATGCCCTAGTTGTGTGGCATCCCAATAGTACCATGGAAAAACATCCAAAGGCGAGCGCGTCTTGCAGGGGTATTTGCATTCCCCTTGTTGCTGGTTTTAAGCATCACTGGTTTGGCAAATGTTGAATAAGTTTCCCTTGGTAGAGGTGATGTTAAAGAAACACATAAAGAAGCCTGCTTAATTGAAACGCCTCACGCCACGCGCGCCCGGAGGTCAGTGGGATCTTCCTTCCAGTCTGTTAGCCGCATTGAGGGCTGCCGCCGAGGTTGCGGCGTCATGTGAGCGAGGGAGCGACCATGTCACTCCCATTACACGATGTCCCAGTGAATCCCAAGCGACCAGCTGCTTTCCTTTTGGTTCTTGAATGGTGGCAAGCCCTTGGTTACCTCTATACTGGGAGTTGTAACTCAACTTGTCAGAGGTGAACTCCACTTTTCGTATCCTGTTAAAATGCACCTTGATTCTTCATGGGGCTGAAAGTGCAAAACAGGGCAACCATGTGTTTGTTCGTTTTTGTTTTTGCTTTTTTCTGGGAGGGATCAAAAGTCCAAGGTTGGTTCCTCCCACCCTTTGACAAGGGTAAAATAACATAAGGAGCAGACCCCAAGGAGAGGCCAACAGACGAAACTGTGAAGATGGATTTGGTATTATTTGTAGTCTTGTCTTCCATTTGCTTAAGAATATTTATGTTATTTTTCCCTTGTTGGTTTTAGAGGGAATCTATCGCTGAGCTTATTGTTATCGTTTCCAGGGGCCTTAAGCAAATGGAAGTTGGTTTCCCCTTGGATCCTTTCGGACTTGATTTATGTATTTCCGTCCCTCCATCTTGAGCAGACCTACCCAATGCAAAAGGTTTCAGGCCATACAATGTGAGCCACGGTCGGTCTTCGCTACAGGTGCAGAGTAGTTGTGCCATGGGTGTTGCCTTTGTCAACTTTGCGGGATGGCCTGGCGGACAACGTGGTCCCAGAGAGATTCATAATTGTGACACCCCCTGATGTGGAGTGTGCGTACACGAATATGCGTATCTGGCTGTGGGTCAAAACCAACGGTACCATTTTGGGGTAGGTGCACCACCCATTTGGGATGTTCACTGGGGGCCATATGGGTGTTTGTTTTTTTGACGGTACTCTTTAAGGGGTTGGTTGAAAGCGAAGCCAATCGGAAACCACCCATGTTGCGGGTCCACGTAGCGTGTCACAAACCCATATCAATCTATACATAGTGCCTTTCGCACACACATCATTCCTCCAGTCCGTCCCCAGGAAACTTGTCACCAGGCTGGCCGCAAAGCGTACGTTTCACTCGCACAGGCAGGAGCATAGGTCAAAAAGCGGCCGCTTTCAACCGCTGAGGGGCCCAAGCCCAGAGAAATGGAAACGTGTGGACAAAGTCCTCCACGAGTTGGATGCAAGGCCATGAACAGTGGGATAGACCACCTCTCAGTATTTTGTCCATCCACGGCATGTTTTTTCAGAGCTGCATCCCTACGATATGTCCCCCCAGAAAAGGTGTGGAATTGAGCCCTTAACCACTGGACTTGAAGCTGTTTGGACTGCCAGGTAGCCCATCAGCCTGAGGTCCCTCTAAGTGACAGACTTTTGGAAGACTACCGGGCTAAGGGGTTTAAACTGGCAGCTGAAGCACCTCTCCAGCCGAACGCAAGCATCCGTCTGGGCTAAACATGAGGAGCTCACCGATTCGTAGGAGCGCAGGCCCCTTGAGGTCGCGTGGGGGGGTCCCTCATTTCCGGTTTGGGAATAGTAATTTGCAGATCCGGTGTTTGCATGCGCAGTTCAAATGCTCATCCCTTGTGTTGTTCTACGCAATGGGCCCGTTTGCAGTGGTTGTCCAAGAGGAAGTTAGAACCCTCCATCTTGGCGTAGTTGAAGCAAGTAAGGAGCATTGAGGCGCTATATGTGTTACCTGGGTTCTGTGACTCTGTTATTGATTCCTGGAATGTTGCAAGTGGGGAACGCGACTACCCTGTCATTTACCATGCTTGGTGGCTGGTCGGCTTGCTTCGTATTCAGCTCGCTTTAGCTGCCTCCAGGTTAGGCCTATATGGGTATGTGTCAACATCAGAGCACTCCCGAAACGATGGTTTCCTTTTGGTTTCCCTTCAAACCAACCCCGAAAAGGGTACCCGCAAAAAACATCCAGTCAATCAATGTTTCGAGTTCAACAGCTTAGTCACACACCCATTTGCCAGATCTCCAGCGATGCAGCTTGTTTCCTTCTTTTGTGCGGCGGTTTCCTACGTCAACTTCCAGAAAGGTGGTTCCGGTGTTTTCCCACGGCCACTGGATCATGGGAAACGCACGGTAGATCTGAATCCTGGGTCTGGGGTGGAGAGTTGACCGGAAAGGCCCACATCTGCAGTACACAAAGACGTTCCAGGCTGCCCGAAAATTTTCGAGAGCTTTCAGGACCGAGTTGGAAATAAAATGAACCATCCGACTTGTAAAGGATCTCTATGTTCATTCCCAAAACCCCCCCCCAAAAAAGGGTAGAGGACAATGGTCTTCCACAGGCTCCCTTTCGGGTCCACATGTTTTGCTGGAGAGAGGAAGGGACAAAAGAACCCCAGCGTGGCTGGAAAGTTTCGGAAGGAAAAGTTCTTGAGGTTCTAAGGTGTATCTCCTGCTAACTTGGTTCCGGTTTCCCTTTTGGAACCAGTGGCAGTTTCAGCAGGAACTACCCAGTTGCCCAGTGGTGCCCTTTTTCTCCCCTTTTTTGGGAAGGGGTCCCCTTTAAAGTCAACCAACTTGTTTTCTCATTGGAAATCCACTTTTTGCATCTGAGACTGGCTTCGGTGGACACCCACCGGAAATCCACGCCCAAGGCCGTGCCTGAACTTTGGAGAGCGGCTGCTGCAGGGCATCGCCACGGAAACGGTGCAGCTGGTGAACAAGGCGGTTTCAGCCCTGCGAAGCGGAATCCGGCTCGCGCGGGTTGGGCAAAACCCAGGGCTTGGATTCCGGTTTTCGGGTGTCCAGGGCAGTAAGCAGACCAGTCATCATGATGAAGCACCTGAGGTATGTATGGGTGTGGCTAAAAAATAGGAATCGGTCGAAAATGGAGCCCTAGCAAATGGAAAGGTAGACAAAAACCTGCATGACCCCAGCCGCTTAATTTTGAGCTACATCCATATAGTCTGGCTACGCTATCAGCACTGCTTCTTGGGAACAATTGCTGTTTGCACAGGTTCGTCCAGGAACCCTCAACCAGACTTCAACGGGGGTAAAGCTGGGCTCAACGAGGCGTTGGAACGTGTCCAGGAGCATATCCCCTTCAGCTTTGCCATCGATGCTGCCAGCTTCCAGGAGGAAGGCGGCCTTCAGGCGAGGCGTGCTTTGCACATCTCAAGCCACGAAAAACATCATCTGTCATTTTCTTACAATGACTCAGTTGTTCAGTGGCACCCTTTTTCCATTTTTTCCCGGTGGCTGCCCCACTAAAAATGGTCTTCCCCAAAAAGGGTTCCCCTTCTTTTTCCAGGGTCACTGAACAACTGAGATGAGCCTCCCGAGCATGGTATGCAAAAAGGGGCCGAGAGGGCCCTGGAGTGTACATTTTGGTCAGGGATTAATTATGCGTTGGGCTGAAAGGAAAACCATCAGGAAGTTCCACCTGTGCTATGTATGCTTCGCCCCATTTTGAGACGCACTGATAGTTCCCACAAGTTGGAAATCAGTCGCTTCTAACCATGAGAGAAATTACCCCGCAACTTAGGATCGGGGCACTGTGAGGGTAGATCATTTCACAGCAAGTTGGTGCTGCGAAAAACCGTTGTTCAAAATTGGGAAACGAAAGAAAAAGCCGTTTGCACCATGTTGGGGGTCCTAAAAAATAACACTTCATTGTTGTTAGCATGTTTTCCAGGTTTGGGGTTCTGTTCATTCTTAGTAGGGGGCTGCAACAGCAACACCGTTTTGTTTGCAAGCCCATGCCAAGGGTTGGACCTCACTAATTACCAGTTTGCACTTTTTTCCACTGCTTGACTCGCCACTGGTTTGGGTGAGTCTTGTGAGGATACCACATGGGTATCTATGTTTTGGGGAGAATATGAGGATGGCGGGTGGGTCGGTCTTTGTTTGAGGATATCCTTTTTCGGTGCTTTTTGTTCCCTCAATTTCCCTTTGCTGAACGTCCAGTCATTGGACACTGCCGGTGGATCGCATCTTTCGATGGCGACCCCTGTGTCCCTAGCGCCTCATCCGCTGGGTTCACCGTTCAAGGAAAACTAAGCAATGGCCCAGTGAGAACTCTACTGGAAATATGTTTTCCCTCTGTTGGTCTTAAAGGGATTCAATCACTTCTGGACATATGTCTTGTTTGTTTCCAGGGGACTTGATCAAATGGAAGTATGCTCATCTCCCCCAAAATGACCTTGCCCAGCTTTAATCCAGTGAAGGTTGCCAAAGTTAAACCTTTTTCCTGCTGGAGTCTGGTGTTTGAGCCACCCTTTTCGGGGTAGATGGTTCCAAGGGAAAGAGACACTCATCTTGGCGCTGCCCCCATTTGCTTGTCGAGCAAGAACAGTGTGTCTTGGTGTAAGCAACATGCTTTTACCTTGGCTCACGTGGGGCTGTTTCGCCTGACAGAGGGTTCATCAAGGGAAACCGCAATCCCAGTCAACAATACCCCAAGGTTAACAACCCCCCCCCCCTGTCCAGGGGCACATGAGGTATGAAACTTGGGGATGCCTTTTGCTTCTGCGCGTCCCTTTAAATCGAAGAAAGCGCGCCTTCCAATGACATCAGGCCTTCCTAGCTCTGATCTCCAGGCGCTGTCGATCACTCCCATGAGTGGCGTCATTGGCCCGGACAGCGCCGTGACCTTTACGGTGAACTTCAAGCCACAGGAGGACACGCGCATGGATGCGTTGGGGGAGTTTTGGATGATGCTCTCTTTGGCTCTTTTCGTTTTCTATTCAACTTATCTTCATGTTTTTTTTCACCACCTGGGGCGAGAACAATGCTGTTTGCGCAGGATCAATCAACGGGCTAAGCTCGTTCTCCCTAAGCTCGTTCTCCATCTACTTCCCAAATGAGCAACATATGGTATTGTTTGGGTATTTGTTTTGGAGGGTTTCCGATTGGGTTGTTGAGATTGGGGGTATCAGCTTTGAAAAGTCCCACATGTGTTTGTGTGTGTGGGTTCAAATGAAGAAGCCTCAGAAGGACCGATTTCCCCTTGCTTCCCTTTTAAACATACCCCAAAAGGGTCATGAACAAGCCTACACAGCATCCTCATCACTTTGAAGAACACCAATTGATCCTTGCTCCATGCCATGTCTTGGCAACCAGACATCTGATTTGATCCAACTTATCCTTCTAGGTCCCCCAGTAGTGCCCTTTTACCCTTTTTTCGGGGAGGGTTCCCCTACTAAAATAGACTACAGACAAAAAATCGGGTACCCTTATTCTAACCTCTCTTCTGGAGGACCCAGCCTTTGTTTGGTGAGTTTCTCACCTGTAGGACTTCGGTTGCGCGCCTGCGCCCTTTCAGGAGCGCCCCTTCAACTTCAACGCCCGGCGCCTGGCGAGCGGGAACGGGGAACGGGGGAGGGAGGGGAGGACGCGAACGCCGGCCCCGTTCAATTTGCTTAGCACGCGGTATTTGTGTTTGTTTTCATAGTTGCTTGTGATGTATTGTATTGTGTTGAATTGTGTTGCTTTGAGTTGTGATTTGTTTATTGCTTGCTGGCTTGCTGGCTTGCTGGCTTGCTGGCTTGCTGGCTTGCTGGCTTGCTGGCTTGCTGGCTTGCTGGCTGGCTCGCTTTGTTGGTTGCTTGTTTGCTTGCTTGATTGCGTGTGTCTTTGCGTTGATGTGTATTTGTTACGTGTGTTTTTGTTGTTGTTTGCATCCTTGAGTGCTTGCTGGTTTTATTGTCTGCGTGTTTAGTTGTTGGGTTGCTTGCTTGCTTGCTTGCTTGCTTGCTTGCTTGCTTGTTTGATTGTT